CTAGTGGGCGGCAGCAGTCGATGCGGCGTTTATGTATACATGTCTATGGGCTAGACTTTCTACAGCCTGAAAAGCCAGATTTCTGGCCAGATTGTAGATCAATGTCGCCGCCATATTGGACCGGGTAAGACTGGTCTGTGAACAAATACAAGTAAACCGGGGAGTTTGTAGGCACACATGAACTGAATTACTTACATGTTGGAAATTATTCATTTTTGCTTTCTAACTGCCGAATGTTTAGCAGGCTGCAAACCCAGAGTCCACTGGTGTTGTAGGTGCCCTCCTCTGATTAGTTGACTCTGTTTTTATTGAAATGTCCCAAACTGTCCACTCAGTCAGCAGTGAACTGACAAGGTTAAGGGTGATTTAAAACGGTAAATTTTTATAAATAATGTCAATGTGTCACAAAACACTCATATACACATATACATTTAGTTTACAGCTCAAAAAACATGTTTCAGGGTGGAGGACCTCTTTAATATAACTGCTGATGTGTTCATTTTAGCTTATTTTAAATCAAACGCCTCCATACAGACACTGCTGCAGCAATCAAACATTAACAGAACACAAGTTAAGCCCCAAAAAATGTGCACACAGCTCCAAAGTCAACAGATTTATTTCCTTTAGCACTGAAGTTGTTCACAGTAACATCACAAGGGAATACATTGCCAGTGGTTATCCTGCTCAGTAGTAGCGCTCCGTGCTCCAAGTCCATTCTGTGTGCTCTGGATTCCCCCAGTAGAAAAAGAGGAAAGCGAACAATGAAAGGTATTGCTTTAATTTTTCTCTCCGATAACCCAACACCCACCCAGCTGGTGAGCAACCCGATCGCCAGAGAGGTCCCTCTTTGAGAGAATGAGTAAGGAGGATGCATTGCACGGTTACTGTGCGTACACAGTAATCAAAAAAGGGGTCGGGAGAGGGCAAGAGGACGGCGAAAGAAATCAAACTACAAAAAAAAAAAAATAATCAGAAGGCAAATTAAAACAAAAGCACATAAAGAACATAAATACATAAATAAGTGTGGAGAGAAAAAGGGAACAGGAGAACAATTCCAACGACGACATGCAAAGAAAAGACGAATGCTGAACATGCAAACAACCATACGAGGTCAAAGCTAAGAGTAGGAATCCCCTTGGTTTTTTAAATAAGCTTGTCAGTAAACTCGGCTTATTTACAGAATGAGTGTTGGTGAGATCTGAGTTCATCATACACACTGAGGGGAAGGAGGAGCCGACAATTATCAACAAAGGGTTCGGTTCCTCTCAGAGAGGCTAAGTCTACATTCTTAAATTACCGTAAATCATTTTCCAAACGTATATTACAAGGTTTCTCTCGTCAGAAACAAACAAAGAAACATACAAACAAACAAAAAGAAGCCGGGAAATGAAACGAACGCTCACAAACGTTTCGAGTATTTCTCGGTGATCAAATAACTTAAACATGACCAAAATATCCTTAAATAATTTTGACGTTAAGAAACATTCTCTACATCTTTCATATAAATAACGGAGAATAAATTAATAACAAAAAAGAAAAAGACCAAATACAATAAAGTACAAAAATATACACAGCAGTTCAATATTGTAAAAAATTATAATGAAAATTAAAAATGCGCTGACATGTTGTAACTGAACCCGAATCTGATTCACTCGTCAAAAAGTGCAAAAAGGAAACGTTTCGTAGACGAGGCCTGGTCACACCGGAAAGCACAAAACTTGTCTGTGCGTCTTTGAGAAATGTTATTGATCAACAAACATCCTCAGAGGCGGTTAGCTGGTGTTATCCGGAGCACGCTTACGTTATTCAGTCACAGTCTCTTCAGATTCTTTCTATTTTCTCTACTTTAGCTACTTTGCCCTGTCGTTTTGGGGGCTCTTCAAGCTAGCGAGTGTGCTAACAGACCGTTAGCAACATTACAAAAAGTTCACAGTTTATTCAAACGTATTCGTACCATCGTCTCTCTCATAATCAGTGCTGGGCAATGAATCCATAAATCGAGATGCTACTTACGAATGTTTCAATGTTATAAAAGTATCCCATATGCGAACAAGCTGCCGCAGTGACGAAACATTACTGATGCGGTGGAAAAAATTTATTTAACATCATAAATCAGATGTGGTATGAAAAAAAAATTAAAATGTAATTTTATTTTTAAGCCTTTTCGCCAAGCCCAACTCCTAACTATGTACAAATTACTCGGCTGATACAGTAACCGGTACAGATAATGTACTCTTTACATTAGAATGTTAATCGTTTTCTTTCTTTTGTGATCAAAAACAGCTCTGAAGCTCAATTCTCTAAATTGTTTCTCATAAATATAGCAACTTCTGATCAACCCTTATCGATTTCAGGCTTAAATGAACAACTTCTGATTAGCCCCGCCCATTTTTGGGCTTAAGCACCACCCACATTTGACTTAAGTCCCGCCCAATCCGAGTATAAATACATTTAATTCAGTCATTCTCAACCTTTTTCCTTACGTATTGTTGAAAGTAAATGTTGACACACGGCTAACAAGCTACGTTAGCGTCCTCCAATTCGTTGTTTAGCACCGTCGACACGCTTATATGAAAGATTTTGCACAGATTTCCTCATCGCAGCGATTCCATTGGAATGAATTCATTTCGGCGTGAACAAAAAAAAAATCGGTGCTTTAAACGCCGGCGCGACCAGGCCCCTATACAGGAATACAAAAACAAAATATGGCAACACAGCTCTAAAAACATAATGTCACGACTACACTTTTTGTACATACGGAACATTATTTTAATCTGTACAACAGAATAGATCATTCATTTATGTAATATCACCCCACCCCTCCGACTTATCATACTTTTTACCGGCAGCCTTTTTAAACTGCGAGAACCCATTTTACAGAAAGCTCCAAAAAATCCTGCTGTTCACAAAGAACATTTAAAAAGAATTACAATCCAGCCAGCGTCCGTCCGTCCGTCCCCGCTTCTGCTTCCTATTTGTCAGTGTGTGCATTTCGTTACATCCCGCAAAGAAGTTATGTTCATGTTGAGTACAGTATGTTGTTTTTTTTTATGTACATGTGGGAGAAATAGAAGAAAGAGAAAAGAGGAGAAGGGGGATGTGTGCAGATTGACAAACATCACTGTCTTAAGGCTTTTTTTTCTTTTTACAACTCTTCTGAGATGCGTTTGGTCTGGTGGGGCGGCGACGTGGACTCGGTGCGGCCCTGGAGAAAGGACTCGAAGTGGGGTGAGAGAGTGAAGTGAATTTGGGGTTAGGAGAAAGAGGGGGGAAGTCTGTCTTTTTTCTTCAGTTTCGGACTCTCTTGGTTGGTTGTTGGTGGCGGCAGCGGCGGCGGGTCTCGAAGAGCCGCCGAGGTTAATAGCTATTATGGATGATCCCTGGTGGCAGAGACAAGTCAAGCCATCACACATGTGAGGAAGGACACACACCCACCGAAAAAAGGACCCCCGAGGACACAGAGAGGGACAGAAAGGTAGGGACAACAAAGCTACATCTGCTACTTATTGTAAAATACTGATCAACCTTTAAACTGAAAGAGCCATTCCCATTATACAGTACAAAATTTATAGGCAAAAAGTAGATTTTTGTTTTGTTTTCACTACGAACTAAAGGACAAAGTTAGCAGCTCTCCTCTGTCGTTCTCTCGTTTAAACACCTGATAACTGCTTTTTCGGCTAAGTCATGCATGGCTACCGCTCCTTAAGGTTGTTCCTGTGTCCTGTTGCCGGCGGCCGTCTTTGTTTTGTCTTTGCCGGGGGGGCATTTAGAGTCATTGGGCGGGGGCTGGTTGGGCTTGCTGCTGGGGGCATGCTTGGCAGGGGAGCTAGGCGTGGCAGGGGCGCCGGGGGAGTGGGACGCTTGGATGTTCTTCTCGTCTGAAAAAAGCTGTTTAATTACGTCAAAGAAGTTACTCAACGGGCTGCCTACACAGACGGGAAGAAAAGAAAAACAAAGAGAGAGAGAGAGAAAGAGAGAGAGAACAAACAACAGATGAGCAATGAGGTTAACATGAGGAGAGGAGGAGGAGGTGATGGAGGGATGAGAGGAGGAGTGGCGCCGGGGGAAAGGAGACTCTTTAGGGAGGGAATGGTTGTCGGGTTGTTTAGAAGGAGAAGGAGGCGCCAAAAAGGAGCCAATAACCAAATAACGTCACTTCCCAATTAAACATATTAATATCAGCAAGGTCGGCTTCAGAGTCTCAGTTTCCCCTGCTGGGTGGAGAGCTAACAGGAGCACTGGAAGACATCCAAAGATCAACTGGTTCAACCTCCGTTAGTGTGAAAGCTACTTCAGTTACTTCATTGAAAATACTGAATTTTCCACAATAGCAAAGGTGCATATTATGCCAGTTAAGTTGGAATGAAGTACATTTACTCAAGTACTGTACTTAAGTACGAATTACACCAGTGTTACCCAAACTTTCTTTCTGGGGTCCAACTTTTTAACATTTAAACAGACTGAGCGCTCACTTTATGAGACATAATACGTGCATTTAGAACTATGATTTTCCTGGAAAATTTTAATTAAATTGTAAGTTAGCCCATCATTAAATTACATAAAAAAACAGCGGGAAACCTGGAAAAAGGATTATTTTACTGATCCTGTGACATGTCCAATCCTGTTCTTATGTTGCTAGCTAGCTAACAACCATAGCTCAGTCTGTGCAGAAGTACATTAGTTGTTTGTTGTGAATAAACAGAAATTACAAACTGACTTGAGCAGTCAAATTCATGCAAATAAAGCAAAATGAGAATTTAATTTGATAATTTAATAACAGATCTATGGCTGCTGCACTTTTTGTCTTTATTGTTCAAGCAAGCGGCACCGCTATCTAGTCTTATTTTATTTATTTTACCTTCTGTACTTCCTAATGCAGAAACATGCTCACACTTTAAAGGTTGTTCTCTGTGTACGAATGTCTTCCAAACCGCCTGTTAACTCTCCATCATGTCAACATCCATCACAACAACATCCAACATCCATCTGTTAAGACAGAGGTTCTTTGTGCTTTAAAACAACCATGAGTGAGTAGAAACATGCAACAATACAGCACAGTGCACACATTAATACAGTCATTGCCGAGGTTAGTCTTCAAACAGTGTGCCCCCTTAAAACATCCTGGTGATTTCACTGCTGATCAATACTTCTGTGATAACTTACCATCGTTCCTCTGCAACAACATACAGCGGTGAGATGTGCATTTCTGGTGTTTGATACTTTGTTCCAGTGATTTCAAATATGGAAAGTTTATGAGGAAGGAGGAAACAACCCAGTATGAAGCGTTACCATGCAGAAGGGTTACTGAGCTTCACACACATTCACACTAAAATACATCTTATTGAGTCTTATTGAGCCTCCAACTGAGCTTTTAAACACTAAATAAACCATAAAAACCTGAAATAAGATGCTGTTTCTAACGGGTAGGCTACATCGAACACGTAACAGCGTGGGGTTTTAATATTATAATTAATAAGCAGATTTTATTACCTTCAGGGATCAATTAAGTAACTTAACTAACAGAGGATCAATTTACTTTTAAATGTTATAGTTGTCCTCGGTGACTCAGTTTTCTATCTGTGAAATACAGTTTAAAAGTAATAAATTGACTTTGTTTAAATAAAACATTTTATTCATAATTTGTTATTTAAAATTATAGTACAGTGTTTATTGTTTCTGTTTTCAAAGGTTACTTTTTTATCAATTTATTGTCTTGATTTCAGCTTTAAAAAAAGTTACCTAATATTTTTTGTCAAAGTTAAAATTCCCTGAAATAGACGAAGACGAGTTTAGAATAAAGTTTGACTGCAGTATAGACCTTCTCTATCTCCCCCTGGTGGCTGACTGCAGTATAAATAAAGCATGAAGCTGCCTCCATGTTAACAAATGGGAGTCAAATCAATGTTTCCCAAAGATGGTTTCTGTCATTTTAGGTCGTTCTTATCACGCTGATGTTTGTTCCAAGTGTTAATTTTTCGGATAAAATAGGTTTTTATTAGTTATTTGGAGATATACGTTTTATATGTCGATGGTTTTAAACACAAAAATCCAATTTTTTAGAGAATATGACGATACTAAAGTGTATCGCTGTTTCTGTCTAGTTGCCAGATTATGAAAAAATTTACTATTTTTACTTTTTTTTTTTTTTATTCTCTTGAAAGTGTGAATTTACTGTAAAAATGCAGAATAAAGTATTTTTAAAGAAAACAAAACTATCTTGTTTTCATATTTAAATGACTTTCCAGCTCTCACACACACAGACTTGTTAGTGCAAACAGCGTGTGTTGGTGACGTTGCCAGTGTGTGTTAAAAGCCAGAGTTAAGGTGTTTGGGGGTTTTTTTTGCCGGGAGCTCCCGGTCGCTCTGGGTCTTACCACGCTTGGAGGATTTACTGGGCAAAGAAGCTGAGCGCTGAGAGCCATCTGAGAGCAGAGGACAGTGTCAGAAACACCAACCAACTCACGGAGGCCCAGCGCTTCATCATCATCATCATCGTCATCATCATCATCATCATCATCAGCCGCACACTGGCCAACA